TATTTAGATCCCTTATTTTATACTTAAATGAGTATAACATTCCACCCTGATCAGCCTCCGTGGCTGACATCATCAAACTGATGATGTCAGCTAGTCTAATGCTTTTCAATAGGATTGCCTCGCTAGCCAATCAGCATGTCTATGGGGAAAATGCAGCACTAACCCAGGAAGCACCTCTAGTGACCATCTAACTTACTGCCACTGAAGGTGTCCCTTGGCAGCAATGTAAACACTGTCTTTTCACTGAAGCTTTAAGCATTACGCTGTAGTTGTTCTGGTGATGATAGCATCCTTTAATGCACACATAACTAACTTCACTTACAACAGTTTTTCTTGCTGTGTGTGCCTGTGGATGATATAGGTGAAAACGTATGGGTTGTGGACTTTTTTATTTTTTTTTTAAGTTAATTACATTTAATAAAACTTTTTTTTTTTTATAGTTGATGTTGTGATTTTAATTTAATTTAATGTATTTTTTAAAAATGAAATTTCACCTTTTTACAGGCTAAGCAGCCACATTGGGTCTGACTCTAGTGTTATCTGGCCAACTGCTGCTCAACCTAACTAGTCCGCTACCTTAGTATCACATAGAACAATTACAGCAGCAGGCCAGTTAGGTTGTGCAGTAGTTGGTCAGATTTGTTAGACTCAGCCAGATGAAAAAAGAAAAATACATAAATAAAAATCTAAATACACAATTTGAAAAAAAAAAAAAAATATTACGTTTCAAGTAACATACTTTTAAATAACAAGAAGTGGGAATTTGATGACTTTTGTCCTTTATTGTTAGCTTAGATCAGAACTTTAAGTGCCATCTCTCTGGTAAGTGGAGAGGGGGCCAGGTTTTGCAAGGTTTTACCCCTAGGTGTCATTGGGATAAATGCAAACAAGATCAGCCTGTGTGTCAGCATCTACTGTGTAAAGTTCATCTGTCAGAAATGTAAAATAATTTCAGACACAGAGTTTGATCGTAGAGATAACTTTCAAATGTATTGTTAGTAAAACATACTACATTCGGATTTTAAAAGTTGCGGAGGGTATTCAGTGCACAATACTAATACTAACAGCTGAGCATTGTACGCTTATCATACCCAGACAGGTAAAATTATGAGAATTAGGGACGAATGCAATCAAAGCTTAATTTGCAAAAGAGAGCATTTGTTCACAGTCAACAGAATACGATGGGGTGTCTGTACCCTGAAAATCCAGCTACTATGAAATGATAATCCCATCATGCGTGGTCAATATCAACAGCTGCTGATGCACCAGAATTTATAATCAAATACTACCTTTTCAGAAAGAAATAACCTCAAATAAAAATAAAAACATAAAAGCTTTCTTCCTTATTCTGTTGGAATATAAACATTTGGGTTCACAGATTGTCTTGAAGATCTTCGTACAATAGCTTTACATTTCCCACAAACTAGTTCAATTTACTGCTAGCTAGAATATTTTTATTTTGTCCAGGTTATCGCTTTACCTTTAATCTTTGGTGTGTTTTTTTGTTGTTGTTTTTTTGTTGGGTGTTCTTTTCTCATTCTCATTTTCTGCAAACTTTTGAGGACATGTGAATGACATCACAAACTTAAGATGATGAAAGGGGCTTTTTAAAACTTCAGCTACCAAAGATCAAGGGGTGACGTATAAAGATTTCTGGGTAATAACACTTGAGAAAATTGGTTGCACATTCACCTACCCAGCCGAGGTTCAGAAGAGTGCATTTCTCTATCTCCACTCACACAAACCAACACACAAATAACACCTACATTACTTGTACGGAAGAGGATCTTCACAATCTCTCAACAAACCTCAAATAGTGATGGGTTTCTTGTTTTCTACCAAGTAATTTCATCCATATACTCTAGTTATAGCTTTCATTACGCCAATTCTCATCTTTCTATATCCCTGACTAATAGTTTTTGTATCTCACCCATTTAAGATATATAAAAAAAAATACTAACAAAATAAAATAAAAATTGTACTCCAAAAACCTACTCGCTATAGGAATATACTCCTCAGTCTTTGTTTTACAGGGTAACTTATACATGCTAGATAATGCTAAATCCTATGTATTTGTTTGTTTATGTAGAATATTAAGGGCCATCTTTGCCTCTATTATCTGTCCACATTAATTTTGTCTCAACTGTCAATTTCGCTTTTATCTCTTATATTTCCCCACAGTATAACTGTAAACCGCTATGGAATATTTTGGCGCTATATCAACAGTAGTACTAAATCATTATCAAATGCTTGTAAATCAATGTCAATCCTTGAAATAAAATGTTCGCACAGAACAGTGGTAATCATAGCACTGGGGGAAACATTCCGTGGCACCCCTGTGTTCAAGTAGTGGCGCCCCTTGGCACCGCAGCACACAGTTTGGGAACCGTTGTTATAGAGGTTTGTGGGTAACAACACTTACAACATTTAGAATAGTTGTTACACATTGAATTAGGATGCATTATGATGTCTTTACTTAACTTCATGATATAACTGGAGCATTGCAGCCTGACAGTAGGTCTTTATTACCAAACATTATTTTAATAATTTATATACCTTTGAACCACAAGAAACTATATTGTTTATGGAAAACTACTGTGAGGTTGCAAATTATGTCACAGACTTCCTTGGGGGTAACATGATGCCCCAGCTAAGTACTCGGCTTGAATATCTGGAGACACTGAGACAACATAATGTACATTGATACACAAGAGACCTCCTTGTGCAAAACACATCCACATATATTTTTTTTCATTGGATGTAATTATTCCTGTAGTTTCTGGACCATCAAAAGGCAATTAAAAATCACCCCAGACTGCCTAAAAATACAAATTTCCACCAGAACCAAACAGTGGATGGCACCAGCTTACCCCCGATACCCGATGCTGACCGCAAGCCAGGCAAGCAGAGAAGGCCGAGCACGGCCTACACGAGGCAAAGAGTCAGAAACCCAGCGGCCATTGCAGGCAGCATGGCGCTGCGGAACAGAGACACAGCAAGGTATCCCGCTATGAACATCAAGACAGAGGGAGAACCTCGGCCCGGGGCAAGGCCCTGACCCCACTCTTGGCCGGTGGGGGATATCCCGGCCTCCGGGTGGAGGAGCGGGTCGCAGCGGGAGTCCCCGCGCGGTCCGGATACCGACCGCCTGCACGAAAATCAGCCAGCCAGCAACACTGGATGTAGCAGCGGGGGGTCTGAGACACCCACCCGAGGAAGCACCCCGATCGGGCGCAAAGAAGCTTGAGCGCACACCGAGATTGCCCCATCACTGACAAGTACTCCACAAAGGCATTACTGTAGAGTCAGAGGAGTAATGGTGGAGAGCGCTAACTATGGGAGGCCGTTCTGGACCGCCCAAGTGGACTTGGGCACAGCTGAGCGCTAGATGGATCCCCTGTGATGACTGCCTGCCCGCTGGAGGAGTGGGTGCCCTAGCCCATGGGTATGTGGGGTCCCCAGAGGGCCATGTCCCTGATGCCGTGAGCCCGGTGTGGCGGACCTGCACGACCCCTCCGGCGGACCGGTGGCCGGGTGCGAGCCAGCTCCAAGCAAGTGGCCGGCACCGGGAGAGACAGAGGGCAACACACACCTCTGAGTCTGGGGCACTGGGTGGTGATGGGGAGGTGCAGGGAGAGAGGGGCCCGTGGACTCTAGGTGTGGTAGTCGGTATGGACAGCCCCTGCTCCCGAGTGCCCACAAAGCTACGGAGGGCCCCGGAGACGGACTGGGGTTGTTGCAGGGAAGACAGACGGAGACCCAGTGGCCTAAAAACTGCAGGGCAGCTGTGCAATGAGCAGCTCCCAGTGAACAGATATTGAGAACAGCCCAGCTCCGTTGCGGTTAAAAGTGTCAAAGTTATTAATATTACGGTTTTACGCCAACTGAACTGTACTGAAAACAGCATGTTATACAATATGTTAGTTTATATAATCTACTACCAACACCACATTGCTCGCAACAGTCTACAAGCATTTACTTTCTAGACCGTTAGCATAAACATGCATGTCTTTAAAGAATTCAGGATCTGTTAGATGGCCCACATATGCATATACATTGCTCCATAAAAAATCCTGAATCAGATTAATAACAGACTAGGCGATCACAATACAGCTAGCGTAACGTACTAGTTAATATTTGATTTGATTATAAATACACAAAATAGATTGATAATGAACCAGACCAGGCAGCAAGGACTTAATGCTATGTTTATACTCCTTACCAAATGATTACTGGATTCTGCGTGCATGCATCTTCTAGATGTTGCCTGAGTAATTAACCAGATAAATGCTACTAATGGTCTGCATATAGTTATAAAGGTTGGAATCCAGCGCTAGTATACTGCTTTCTCACGCTTGGTCTGAAACCTAGACATTTTCGCAAAGTTAATACACGTTTAACCTACAACATGGCATGATTGCTGAGAATTATTGGCCTCTGCGCAGGCAACCATAGGATACCTTTAATAACCTATGCAATAAGAGCTTCATAAAACTAGGCATGACTAGGAGGAATATACAGCCAGCACAATGCGTAAATATGCCTGTTGAATACATATGACATCTTAACTCTCGCAAAGTTTAGGTTCATTACATTTAATTAACTGCTTGTTTATATTGACGTCTATGCCTCTGCGCAGACAACCAAACGTTATTTCTATGAATCCGCAATATGCCTGCTCACACCTTATTGCGACTCCAATAAAAATATTCAAAACAAATATTGGTGTTTCAGGGCAGTGGGGTGTTTTGCAGCGATGATGTCGTCAGTGAGGGTGAAGTTTTTTGCATTTTTCACACACAAACAGCACTTGCAATGACGAGGTTATTACTGTTGTACTTTTTGCTGTTTTGAAGCACAAAAGGTCTCCCGAGTGTGGCAGTGCCCCTTATGTGCAGGTTTTGAGGTGTTTTCAGAAGTTGCAGGGTCAGATGTAAGGCTTGTGTTTCGTTTTTTTTCGCGTTGAGGTTTGCCGGATTGGTTGCGTTGCCTTTGGGACCGTGTGATGGCCCGGGAGTCAAGGTTGCCCCCGTGGTGGCGTGCCATTTGCGGTGGTGGACGGTCCGGGGTGTTGCGGGTGGGGTGTGTCTGGTGTTTTTTGGTGGCCACTTGGTCGCAAGCGCTGGCCGAGATTGGCGTCCAAATTAGTTTTTTGTATTTTTCTCACACAAGCAAATATTAACCCTAACTTTGGCTAGTGTTTGTGGCCGGGTGGCTGCTGGGAAGGACTGGACGTGCCTCGTTTGCGGTGCCTTGGGTTGTCTGCTGTTGCAGGTGGTGTGCCATCATGGGGGTGGTTCTCATTCATGGATTGCCGTGTGGTCTAGGAGGCGGCGTGGCCTGTCAGGCGGGTTTCAGTGTGGGAAAGCTGAAAAATTTAACATGCTGTGTTTGACCCTGTGGCTTCCCGGGACACCGTGGGGCTGTGCATAGGGGGTGCTGTTTTGCACGTGGGACATCGCTAAATACAAATATCACAACGTGTACGTTTGGCTCAGTCCATAAGAGGTTAATGCTGAGAGAAATGATGGCACCAGAGGACACCAGACACTATAACCAGTTTAATGAAATGAACCACAGTGCCTACAGTGTCCCTTTAAGTTTTTTCAGCGGAATGAACCCTCAAGTTAAATTGAAGAACCTTTTTATTTGCTTCTAAAAGGAAATTACTGGAACCTTTAATATTCCAAAAATAAATCCATGGCTAATAAAATAATGAATAATAATAAAATAATGACAGAAGTTGATTTAAAGGCAAGCTGCCCCCTTCAATGGAACATAGCAATGTAGAATGTGTGCTTGAGATCGGAACTCTGGAACTTCACATATCAAGTGCTAGTTTTCAGATTTAATCAGCACCGACATTACAAACCCGAGATTGCAAAACAGCACAGTTAACAGAGGGTCCTTGTACAACACAGCCTGCCCTTAGGGCGTATGGAGCTGTTGTGAGGGAACCATTTCTCATGCAAAAGTAATAAAAAGCAAAGAATGCCCAACACCAGTTCACATAAAAAGAAAGAAAGAATGAAAGCCTCGTTCTGTGCTGCACAAATAAAAAGAAAATCAGAACATTTAAATCAGGCTTCCACAAACGAAAAAAAAAAAACACACAACAGAACAGTTTTCAACATTTTTTTTTTTTTTAATCTCTGTGAAATACCAAAATCTGTAAGTAAAAAGTATGCCTCCCAAGAAAATCCCAATAACACGTGACTGGACTCGCCAAACGCACAAACTGCTCCCTTCAGAAACCACAGCAAATGTAGGATAGTACACATTCTCAGTGGAGTGATGCCACCTCAGAATCGGTTACAATATAGGCTACACATGCTGGATTTAGGATGATGGGGACACTTAATAGTAAATTCACAAGAATGAGGGTAGCCAAAACATTGTGTATTATGGAAGACAAAAAAAAACAAAACATGTTTATGCGTCAGTGTTGTTGATGTATTTATTTATGGGAGAGATGCAGGGAAGGTTGTTGGGAGTACCATTCTTAGAAGTGGAGAGACCCTGGTTCATTTGTTAATGGCTTAGCTTTGCAGAACTCCTCAAATGTTTATGTTTTTAACTCAAAGAATCTTATATTTCTATAGTAGAAAGGCTACCAAGTAAAAAGCTCAGTACTAGTCCCTGAAGCCTTAAGATGCTCCATGGTAACATAAATAAATATTTTCACTCAAAAACATATTATTCCTTAGTAATAGAATACTCCACGTATTCAGGGACATCCATTAAAAAAAAGCTGTTGAAGCTCCACAAACAGGATATTCAAAAATGGCAGAGGATCATTGGGGCCCAAATTATAATGGTAGTAAATTGTAGAATGACGTTGTTTAGTGGTTATTAAGAAATCTTCTAATGGTCTTTAGTCTGGATAGAACAATCGCTAATTTGGCCAGCAAGCTTGAAAACAAGAGACACCAATACAAAGATGTCCTCACTTAAGGACAGGTATGCTAATCCACATGTACATAAGCAGTTATGTGATTAAGCAGAGAACTTTTTTTTTTTTTAAACCAGTTCTTTTGGGAGCTTTGAGCAATTAAGAAGGCATTGACTGTACTATGATTTTTGGAACGGGGTTTTAAAGATATTGAAGATCTAAGGCCAAAGGAGACAAGCTGAAAAAATACCAGAGTACCAAATTATTTTTAATCTGGCTCTAAAATTTGTGATTCGCTTTCTATCCTCAATTCAGTTAGGTTATTAATATAATTAACTTGATAATGGCAAATTAACAACCCCACCCCCCCAACCATAAAAAAAACAAACAAAACAAAAATATGGCAATCAGAGTTGCAATTTAGATATTGGAGAAACAATTTGTGGTGTCCTAAATTAAGTCATAGACTGAGGAGTGTTAGCAGTGTACACATTCATGAGACTTGTTTCCCACAGTATTATTTCATTCATGGCTCGTTATGTTAGTTTGCAACCACGCTGCAAAGTGCTAAGAGCACACTGATTCTTAATAAATGTACATAACACTATTAATAATTAATAAATATATACAACTATTACCATTGCTATAATAATTGTTATATACTGCAATTTCTTAAAGGATAATAATGTAAAATTTTTATTTAAAATACACACACATATACAGAAATGACTGCCCTTATATATAAAATCATATCCAGAAACTAAGCATGTTCAGTAGGTTTGCCGTAAACCTATATTCTGTAAAACATAATCCTTGTCAACACGGAAAACGTATGTCTACAATAAAATCTAGAGCAAGAAAAAAAATCTCTAAAATGTAACAAAACCAAGGGACATAATACTTAAACAGATATTTCACAGCTGGAAAAACTACCTAAGAAGAAATCTATAACCCTTTCGAATTATGGGGATTAGAGTCATTAATATGCATAGAATATACAATACCATACACAGGCTATAAAGATACAATAACCAAAACAGGTGGAAGAGGGAGAAAAAATACTATGATGTGTTTGGGCAATAGGACAGATGTTTCTGCTGCTTGTCCTGGCTGTGTGAGAAAAGGACTGTCCAGTGACCAAATGCCCATTATATACTGCTGAAGACAAAGAGATGATGGAAGGTGGGGAGGGGTGGATGCTGTCGTTCCTCCTGGTCCCTAATTATGGAAATCTTGTTAATCTATTCAGCAGCGTCCTAAACTGCTCCTTTGTTGAATGTTTTTTTTTTCCCCTTAATGTAATGCAACTGGTGCACACGGGGTTCCCAAAAGATCAACCGTACATTTAGGAGAGGAGGGTGGGAGGGGGTGACTGCTCAACTGCCAATCATCTATCTTGTATCCAGCCAGTATACAGAAGTAAAATTAAAAGCACAAATATTTGTTGAATTCAGAATTGACATGATACTGGATGCTTCTTCAGGGAGCAGCAGCTGTATCTATGTAAGCAGCGACCCTGGCCTTCATGGGCTGACATCACCGCACTACAATACCGTTTGTGAAATGTGATTATTGGGTGGGGACAACGGCAGGGTAATAAGGTTAAACAAACAGTACTGAATTATGGCCACTCAACTATCCAATCTGGCCACACTACTCTATTCCCACACTTTTTTGCATTGGTTAATCTCTGGTACGTACTAATCTGTCAGAAAAATGTAGAAGAAAACGATGAGATGTATCCATTCAATCTCTGTACCATACATGTTTATAAAGTTATATAAGAGGAAGATTCACAGTTAATTAAAACAGTACTGTCCGAACAAAATATCCAGGTATACTTTATTTAACAGGGAACAGACATAGTCAGCAACATGATAAAAAATATTAAACACACACACACAAACACAATGTCCCCAATCACACTCCAGGCTATATTTACAAAAAACTAAACAAAACAAAAAAAACAGAGCCCAACATTTATAAAGGTAATTCAAAGGTTTTGTACATTTACTGAATGAAATTAAGGTTTTGGGAGAATTATCTTGTTTTTATCGTTTTAATGCTTATACCCTACATATACATAGCTGTGTTCTCTACAACCCGGAAAAAACGAAAAACCATAACCTTATCAGTGTCCAATCCTGTCACTGTCTGCACTATTTATGGTGAAAACAGTCTTCAGATTAGATTCCATATTTTACACAAGTCTGATGGCACAGGAGCTTTCCAACAGGTATATAGGTGAATATCTGATTCAATATGATGTCTCTGCAACTGATATGCTAAAGCCTTACAAGATTTTTACCTATAATTAGTAACAACTGAACATATTTCTGATGACCTAATCTGGGTAAATACCATTAACATTGTCCCAGGTAAGCTAGTTTACTCTGTTAATTAACAAAATACATTCAGGAAGCCATAACAACCTCAGTCTATACGGCTCAAGGTTGGAATATAGATTTAACATGTTAATAAAACACATAGCTTATAAGTTTAGGAGGGATATATTCCTCAAACGCAACACACTAATAGAACTGTACCGTGTGATATGAACTTAGAGGAATTCATTTTCATGCAGGCATGGGACCTTTTATAAAAAAGAAAGATGATAAACATAAAACACATGGTAGAAGGAAAAGAGGGACACTGAGTTAGTATTTTATGGGCATAACAGAGATGCCATCACTAGCAATTCGTACACCTGTAGTGTTTATACGACTTGAACAAACATTTGCTTAAGGCAGAAAATGTAATTTAGATAGAACACATGAGTTTGGATTTGCTTCACCATTGAATACTTTTGCCCTGTTCTCAGACCCCTTCTCAATTTAGAACCTGATTGGAATGCAGTCTTAATAGTGTTTTTACTCACGAGGGCATTGTGGACATCGAAGCCCAATCATCTCCTCGTGCTACGAAAGTCATTCCAAGTTCTGGATCTCAATAATTAAAGGAACCAAACAGCAAGCCAGCAAGCAGGATTACTAATAAAAGGTTTAGCAAATGCAGAGGCAAGAATATTCTTATACACTATATTTCCTACCTATTTCCTATAGTTCTACTTATTACTGAAACATACAGTCCAGCTTTTCAAAATATATCTCAACAGAAACGCCCATCAAAACTCATTAGATATACTATACTATATATGGCATGCTTTCTTAAGTATTACTACCATTTGTTCTATTATTAACAACATAGGCAAAAGTAATGTTGAATGTTTTTATTTTTTTTTTAAACGACAACACACTTACAGTCCCCAGTGTCCATAAAGGTTTACTTACATTTTCTTTACATGTCTTCATACTCTGGCTGTGTAGTGCAGATTCCAGTGATGTATGAGTTAATACACTGAGAACAAAGTGATTATCCATATGGCGATTGACGTATACAGGCTCAAAAATATATGAGATGGCAGTATAGAGAATGCCAGTGAGATGTATTTACGAACAGGTGAACATGTCAGATATGTGACAGGCTTCGCTAGGCCTCCACACTCTTCACTAATGACCAGGATAAATAAAAAGGTTGTCACTTTGAAGACAGAAGAGTGACATTTTTTAACAACGGTCCACTGTACAATACGGATATGCACCCTTGTTATAATGCTCCAGCACAGAAAACAACCAGACAATACGGTCAAAAGATTAAAAGGTAGGAATGCTAAGCGCTTGTTTATGCTGTCTCTGGATGTAGACTGATTAAATCCAATCTCCCAGGAGGAAAGGGTAAGAGGGAAATCGCATCCTTAACCCACATACTTAATCTTCTTGATAGCATGCATCCGTGGAGTCATGCACAGCCATCTGATTTACTGACAATTTGTCTCCACAGCAAGGCGAGAGTCACGGGCGCCCGGGTTAGGAGATCACCGCCGCTAGATGTGCTTGTAAAAGGCAGTATGAAAGGGAGCCCCGGTGGTGATAGGGAGTGCCAAGTCCCAGCTGTAGAAGAAAAAAATTAGACTTCTGCAACCACAAAGCACATTCTGCGGTCAATGAGATGGCCCTGTAGCACAAGGAAGCAGTGTGCAAGATTGGATACTATAAAAGATGTCCATTATATCATGCACTCTTATTTTATTTAATCACATTTATATATCGCCATCTTCTGCAGCGCTTTACAATTATACAACAGAGAAATTTAACACTAACGAACATAAGTAAATAATGTTAAATTACATATGAGGTGAAGAAGATGAACTCATATGCTTCATGCCCTATCTATATTCCGTACTCCAAAAGTGATATTTGAAAGAAGGGGGGGGAAAGAAAAATCACAAAATGAATCCTTTAATGGGATTAAAAGAGTTAATACAAAAGTTGGCATGCGCGCATACACAAACACTTTTTTCCTACTTTGAAAAACACACACAACAAAAAAGTAGCCCACAAATTTGAAAAACCCAGGTTTTAATTATAAGGAAGATACTTTGGGGAGAGATGAACATTATACATCAGATCGAGTCTGGACTACAGCTTCACCTGTTATGGCTGTGTGACATCTAGATTTGAAAACAGCCGTCAACAAACCATTCTAATCAAGAATCCATGAACATTATGGCTTAACATTGAAATTAATATTTATTTGTGGGAGAGGATAGAATGCACAGATTTCCCTTTAGGTAAAATGTCTGCCTTCTTCCCGCTATAAACCGTTTTCTTTGAAATCACGTAAAATTCTTCTTGTAAACATATAGCTAAATGAGTGAGAATACAAATAAATTTAAATGAAAGATCACTATTGCGTTAGAGATACATACCTTTATTCCTAACGCTACAGTGCCCTTGTCCCTAGTTCTACAGAGCTTCCCCAAGCATGGATTCCTCCACAATGGTCCAATTCAGTGCTCCTCATAAAGGAGAACAACTAGGGACCCAACACTCGTGTGCGCTGAGCATCGCGCACTTCTTCAGTATTCCGCACACGACAGCGTTAAATCAAATGGAAACTTCCGTGTCATATGAAGCAGCTATGATAGCCACTAGAGGTGGACTTGACCCTATAATGTAAGTCCTGCAGTTTAAAAAAACAAAAACTGCAATGTTTTCCACTGCAGAATGAAAAAGACAAGGCCACTGCACCCAGATTACCTCATTGAGATGATGTGGTTTTAGGGACTATAGTGTTTCTTTAAAATGTTATATAAGGTTCCCAGATGTTACCTTCCATAAAAATACGGCCTCCCTGCATCATGATTTCTCTCAGGTGTCCCACGTTAAATACCTAATTATTTAAATTGTATTTATTTTTTAGCCCTCATACAGATGGACAGATTTAATTAGCTTAAAATTTAGCAAATGCTGATAACATGAATATTTTCCTGGTTTTCCAAACTACTCATAGTACAAACAGCAATGATTATTGTTATAGAGTTTAGAAAAATAAATACTGGAAAACTGAACATTTTTTTTTCCCCTGGATTTAAGTGCTAAGGAAGCCACCTGGGGAGTACGTCTTTGGGTTTTCGGGTAAGCAAGATAGTGCAGCGGCCATTTTTGAGAATCCAGGGAGGATTAGAACATTGTAGATTGTAGTGAAATACAAAACTAACAGTACAACTGTGTTCCCAGCCATCACATCAATTCCTAATTATATCTTGTGGGAATTCTCTTCAGAGGTTCGTGCAGCTGACAGCATCAAGTGCTCTCCATTTGCAAGTCACTCAAGACAAACCAGTCTTAAAAATCTTAGAAGATATTAACCCACTGGCCAAATTCCTTTGCTTTGTAAAAATGCCTCACTACACTGGTTTGCTGAATAATCCACTGAGCTACTTTACAGGATAAAAAGAAAAAAAAAGATCCAGAAAAGGCACACATGTATTTTTAAGTACACCTGCAGATCATCTATGGACATATCTATTGTGAACCGAGCATCTTTTCTGCGTGATAATTGAAAAACTGCTCTTAACCTGTGCATGGAACTAAGAGTCATTGCATGCTTTGGGTGTGTAATATAGTACACAGAATAAAATGGAGTTTATCAAAACTACCTATAGTAGATATTCTTTGGCAACCCAACATTCTGACTTGAAATTCAGTAAAACATATCTTACCATTTCAAATGGTTAAAGTGGGACACTTTCTTAGAGGATATGAGTGCGGATGTTGTCAGGCTATTTCAGGACATCTTAGATAACTTCACGAACAACTGATATCCATTCGTATAACTGAATAATCTAAAGAACAAAGTGTTCTGATTACAACAACAAATTTATAAAACACAAACACAGCAGTTTAAAGACATGTCAATAAGTTACATTGCTTTTGAAACTCTGTGTTGCACTCTCTATTAAAAAAGATGGACTGGGGGATTTGGGTGATAATTTATGATAACAGAAAGGTACGAAGTAAATTGTTCCATTATACAACAATTAATGCTTCGTAAGCCATGAACATATTCCTTTGATATCAAAGTTGCCCGAACAGAAGAAAAAATTGACTAATTATGTAGGTTGAATTTTAAGGCAGAAAAATGTGCAAACACACTAGCATTGCTAAACTGATTTCACTTGGAGTAGATGGGATTATTCTGTGATAAAAAAAGAAAGACTACTACTCTCATAGCATGCTCGTAAGATTTATATGTAAACCTGTAAACACAAGCATTTAGAAACCTCCCTACGTAGAAGTCTGGATTTTGGATCACAATCAGAACATACCAACAGTTGGGTACCAAGAAAGAAAAAAAAACTACGTTACCAGCAAACTGAGTTTCCCCTAAATCATGCCTAGTTGGGAGGTATGGATATTTGATGTATTCAGACACAGCTCATGAAAAAGCATTAAAATAAAGCCTGCAACCACAAATATTATTGTTAAATCAATTTCTTTGAGAATGTGTTCAGCAATTTTAGATTGTCAGCAATTTACTGACCGACGGTATGTTTGTATTATGTGCCTGCTGACCAACCTTTATTTGAGTTGCTGCAATTCCTTTCTCAGATTGAAATTAATGTAACTGAAATATTTACCAGTGATTCGAGTACTTCTATAATGTTAGAGATCTTCAACATGGTTATAGAACAGTTCGTTTTTTTATGAGACAAATAATATAGCTCACCAACTCAGTAGCATTTGCAGTTCCAGCTGAAAGAACAAATTTGCAGCTTTTTCAAGGTCATCTGCTTTTCCTTGTAGGGCATCTTGAACTATTTTGTCAAAATTATCTAGTCATTCTAGAGAAAGGGCAGATATAGAAGAGTTTATCTAACTGCTCCAGTGTTGTAGAACACGTATTTAGCACGTGGATATCTACAAAAGAGGAATTACAATTATGATTATAAATATATGTGAATAAAAAACCCCAATATAATTAAAGCATATAAATATTATCTTAATGAGCAGATCATGCTTTAGAATCCAATACTGCATACATAGAATCAAATACTGCATGTAATTACTCCTTGTAAAATACAGGGATTAATGCATGGATCCAACCCATTCTGCCTGAAATAAGAGAGTTCTACACCTCCAAGCGGCAGATAATTATATTTTAATGATGGAAGCTGAAATAGCTGCTGTCTAGGACTATAACTCATTAATCGCAAGTCCACCTTTTAATCCCTACACAACCATAACGCTACACATTATCCTTTACCTACCCTACCTCAATACAACGCGGTCACTAAACACTAATCCCTGCAATAGAATAACACTAAGCCTACTCCTAAAATATCACATATGGTAAAACATTCATATATAGACTATATAATGGTGAAGCATGTAAACAAAATAATGCTGTCTTGCGGTTCTGGAAACAAGTGTTAGGACATCTCCATAACCCTTCTATGACATTCGTTTTCCAATTGGACTCCTCTGCAATTCTATTGCTTCCACGTCAAATTAAAATCGATATGTATACGGATATTTTCAGTAATTTAGAGTGTTCCCTGCCACAAATAAAAAGGAAGGAGTACTAATATAAGTTTAAAACAGGATGGCCTTTCTGCCTCTTTCCTTCCAGCAAAGATGTATCTTGATAAATGAGGATGATTGATTAAAAATCAAAGCTCAGTTAATGTACAAACACATAGATGGAAAGAAAAAGCCTTGTAACCATCCCCCCTACAGACCTCTATTCCCATGGCAAGGCGCTCACAGAGACCTCTATTCCCATGGCCATACACTAAAACTCAAATAATGGTATGTCCACTCTGTCCAGCTATATATCAAACTCTGAGCAGCTGGACATCACCAGGAAATAGAGACTGACCAACAGGCCGGTTCTCCATCTGTGCGGTTTCAGGAGCCAGAGCCACAGTCCAGCTAGGAGAATATGAATATGCATCAGGGATGATTGCAGACAGCTGAACATCCTCCATCTGTTCTCTTTGACAGAGTACATGCAGGGTGTCTAACGTCGCCTCTCAAAAGAGAACTCAATGCATCAAAGAACATCCATAAATGCAATATACCATGGGATCCGTGTCACAGTGCCAAATTAGTCTGCAATCATGCTTAGAAGAAGCACCATCTTAGTAACTATGACAGAGACATGACTAATTGGTTTAATGTAACACAAGAAGTTTTCAAACTCTCTTCCATTTTGCTTTATGTGACCGTATGTTTTAAAGAACACCAAGGCCAGATTGATTTCCATACCATCAGTAAAACTTATAAATTATAGCATTTCCTATAGCGGTTAATATCTTTCTTAAAAACCATGTGTATCTTAACTTCAAAGATGTACATAAATTGAAAAACTGAAGTCTACCAGACCCTATCTATACTGTATAGAGGCCACCAAGCTCACAAGTCACTAGGAGTGCTGGCAATGTGCCACCATGCTCGTTTTTTTGTGTTGCAGACATGTGTTGCCTGTGCTGTCATGCCATTACATGCAATATATGCAAGGATAAGATATCTGCACTGAGAATTAGTCAGGCTATACAGTTACGGGCGCCATTCTATGTTCTCCCACACTGGATGAACATGGATCTTCCCAAACACGCACACGTAGAGGGCTGAAGAGCAGCGGTGTGCGTCTGGGTGGTAAAGAACTTGGTGGTTTATTATGTGATGGTGAGCGTAATTAAATGGCTTTTGGAGAAAATAGAGTTCATAGAAGACTCACATTAATTGTAAGTGATATGTAACTGGGAGTGGTGAGTTTAGCCTGCAGATCCTCTGACACTAGCAGCAATTTGTGTACATAAACACCTAAAACATAGTAAACAATTTGGGAATAGCAACAGATACCATATCTGCAGACTTGGTCACAGTAATATCCAAAAGGGGCTTAGAGATAATAAAAAGGTAGACTTTGCCTTTGCTGTGTTGCAATCTTTGTGCATTTAATTTGCTGTAAATACATATCAAAACATTTTCTTCACAACATTACAGATCCCGTTGGGGTTATAGAATAGGAGGGACTTGTTAAAGTAAAATAGAAGATTTCCCTATCACAAGTAGTTCCTGTTCTACACAACTCCACAAGGTCACATGCTTTTCCTTCTAAGGTTATCTGGAAGTATTTTGTCTCTGGGACATTATCTACTCACTTTAAAATAGGGCAGCATAGTACATTTTATTTCACCACTCCATAAATAGAGCACTTTTATATGGCACAGGGATATTGAGCAAAAATGTTAAATTGTTATTTTACAATTAGACCTCCAAAATGTTCTGTAGCAATGTAGAATGGGCAAAACATTTAATGTTCTTCTCAAACCTGCCAAAAAATAGTTCTAAAATATGCTCTATGGAAGTCTTACTTGGAAAATATTATATAGCATTACCACTTCAGTGGCGGGACCCATCCGCAAAATAATGCATTGAAGGGGCCCCATCGTGTGGCCATTGCCGTTAGGGCCACGTGATACTATGTATTTCAGAGGGCCCAGTCAGTTCTTTAACAGCGCGACCGGGCCCCCTCTGATGAGGTCAGAGGCTGGGGGGGAAGTGACTGCCCCGGGGGGCAATTTTCGCACAGGGGCTCTGTGGTTTCTAGTTACACCTCTGAGCACTATATATATATATATATATATATATATATATATATATATATATATATATATATATTTGTGAAATATATTTCCAATAATGCATAGCCTAAGCTTAGTACCCAAACACCATGTTGATAGGCAGACAGACATTGACAAAATAAATCCTCAGTAGTGATGTCCCGAACTATTCGCCGGACGGTTCGCGAACGGTTCGCCACGGACTCATCATTGAGTAAACTTTGACCCTGTACCTCACAGTCAGCAGACACATTCCAGCCAATCAGCAGCAGACCCTCCCTCCCACCTCCTGGACAGCTCACTAAGAATGCAGCTTCACAATGGATGCTGTCCAGGAGGTGGGCGGGTATGGGAGGGAGGGTCTGCTGATGATTGGCTGGAATGTGTCTGATGACTGTGAGGTACAGGGTCAAAGTTTACTCAATGATGAGCCCGTGGTGAACCGTTCGACGAACAGTTCAGGACATCACTAATCCTCAGTTGTAAGTGGACCAGAACTCACTGAATGTATCTGTAGCTTGAGAGATCTGTTGATTAAGTCTAAGGAAACCTTTGACTGACATGTAATTTTTGTAAAACTAAGAATCTGTAAGATTTCAGCTTGTAATGTAAAAAAAAAAAAAAAAAAAGTTCACTTGTTCTACAATCACAAACAAGCTCTTTAGTTGTAGTGACAATGTGATGCACTAGTAAATCAATCCCTTGAAAGAGCCGTTTTATTCATTAATATATACGGCAGTCGAGTGCAGACACCTACAATTTAAGTCTATTCATAGAATTGTGTACAAATCATGATATATTCCGCTCCAAGACGAGACTTTACTCTCCATAAGGAAATATATTATGTATCACCATTTTAACTTCCCAAGATTTGTTTTGCTATCCAATTGGTCGAGCATAAGGGAAACTGCAACGACATTAACTTCACAGAACTAGACTTTCAGTTCTCTAGTGTTTGTAACTCAGCTGCTAAGAAGTGTTCTACGAGAAGGACACTAAATATTCATTTAACAATCTACAGCCATTTTTAAACCATGACTGGAGTAAAAATATTCTTTTGGCAGAGGACCAAACCCTCACCCCTCTTCCACACATTCAATTTTGTGCCGGCTTTCGATAATTAACATGTATTTTTATAATATGTTAGTGCGCTGTATGTTATGGTAAAATAACTATTGATCCCTTGCTTTCTTAGTCATGGTCTGAATTCTGTAGCAGGGCATTCCAACCTTTCTCATTCGAGTTCCAATGTGGTATTTCAATGATACACCATAGGAATGAAGCTCAACCGTCAACGGGGGCCTTATGGACCCTATCAAGGGATTAGCTGCTCGTAACTTCACTACTATACTGTGACAGGGCAGTAAAAAAATCAATGAGAAAGGGGTGAGGAATGTACTACATTTAGGAAACTAGTATAACTGGAATGCGGAATATGTACATAACATATGGTAGATTCCTCTAGTACTTCCACAGAGAGGCTTCTAAATTCTCTGCTTTGTGACCCTTACAGTACTCTATTACACCAACAAATGGAAATATCTGCTTGCAGCCAGAGTCCTGCATTTTATGGTATGGAAAGGACAAGAAATAGAAAATTGTCACATGCATCTCAAACATTATTTACTTCTGTTGCTAGAGACTTTGTACAGTTGTACAATTTCTTATGCAAAGGCTCAATCAACATACAATTAATTTCCCAGAGGCTCTTATATATATTTATTATAGTTTAACTTTTAGGGCATTAACATTCATGTCATGCAAAATAACATTACATTCTATTGTAGAAAACAACATTTATAATCCATACACAGGGCTAATAAAATTGCCAGCTAATACATAGACTACATTTTCTTTCTATTCCAATCAAAGGTAAATGTAAAATAACGGATTAAATTAGTATCTTGTAATACCTTTTCAGTCAAAGGCATAGAGATACAAATGACAAATATTGCAGCAATCATATTGAAGAATGGATAAGAAAAGTACAATTCTAACATTCCAGGAATTTAGCCAGAATAATGTACACATAAAATGTGTACAATGTACTTGTGGGTAACAAATAGCTAAAACTGGGTAATGCAACAAAACTAGGATAATACATGTTTAGGCATGCTGGACCGGTCAAGCAAGAGAATGCAGCTTAAAGCCAGGGCAGAGCTACATATTCCCCTGTCCTTGTCTCTCTCATTTGCAGGGCTCCATTTATTAGAACTGCTGCACTTTCAAACATTCAGATAGGCAATAAGACCTATCAGAAAGGATGAAACTAGGATTTGTAAATTAGCAGTTATTTTGCGAAACAGAAAGATAAAAATAAGGTATGCATTGCTCCGCATTGTCCCAAATATTCTAGATCAATACATGTCTCAAAAATGTTGCATACAGTTATTATTTGTTGAATCTATTCCAAGTAGACAAAATAGTGGGTCTAAAATGTGATTATCCACTGACTTGAGTATTCCGCACTCTTTTGACCTTGATTTGATTCCCCACTACTGTTCTGCCATCTTATCAAAATGTAGGCACTGCTCTAAGCTCAGCTATCAACCAGAAATATGCATCTATTCTATGTCAGGGCCATTAAACAAAAAGTAAGTGGTAAATTGGTTTAATAAAAAATATGTATAATTTTTCAGATCGCATTCTTGCAGTTTAACCGGTGTTA